GCTACATCAATGTTCATAGCAGCACAATTCACAATAGCTAGACTGTGGAACCAACCCAGATGCCCTTCAACAGATGAATGGATTAAAAAAATGTGGCATTTATACACAATGGAGTATTACTCAGCATTAAAAAACAACAAAATCATAGAATTTGGAGGGAAATGAATGGCATTAGAGCAGATTATGCTAAGTGAGGCTAGCCAATCCCTAAAAAACAAATGCAGAATGTCTTCTTTGATATAAGGGGGGTAACTCAAAACAGAGCAGGGAGAAAGAGCATGAGAAGATGATTACCATTAAATAGGGACAAGAGTGAGTGGGAATGGGAGAGAAGGGGAATTGCACAGAAGATGGTAGAAGACCCTCATTGTTATGCAAAATTACATATAAGATGTTGTGAGGGGGGGAAGAAAAATGAGAGAGAAACATGTCACAGTAGATTGGGTAGAAAGAGGGGAGGGGAGGGGGGATAGGAAGAGCAGCACATACAATAGACACTAGTATGGCCCTATGTATAAACGTGGCTATATAATCAATGTGATCCTGCAATCTGTACACGTGGAAAATAAGATTAAGATTACATACCCCATTTGAATCAAATGTATGATATGTCAAGATCATTGTAATGTTTTGAGCAACTAATAAAAAAATTTTAAAAAATCTCAATTACTAGTTGCAACATGGCAATACAGAACTCAGTGAAAGAACTTGAGAAAAGTATGTTAATGGGCTTTATAAACATAACATGATTGTGAAAATTGATTAAAATAATTTTTCCCAGGGCTTGAATCCAATTATTGAGGGCCTGAATTTGAATTTATTTGTTGTGGTGCTGAGGACAGAACCCAGGACTTCCCATCCTGTAGGCAAGTGCTCTACCACTGAGCGACATTCCCAGACCTTTCTTTCCTTTTGGTACCAGGGATTGAAACCAGGGGAACTTAACCACCAAACCACATACCAGTCCTTTTTTTACAAGAGTTTTACTGAGTTGCTAAGGCTGGGTTTGAACTTGCCATCCTCCTGCCTCAGCCTTCCAAGTTGTTGGGATTGCAGGCATGCACCACCGCACCCAGCCCCAAGTCCTTTTTCTTAATTTTGAGATAAAGTCTTGCTAAGTTGCCAAGGGTCTCACAAATTGCTGAGGCTGGCTTTGAACTTGTGATCTTCTTATTTCAGTTTCCCAAGTTGCTGGGATTACAGGTGTGTGCCACTGCATCCAATCCTTGTTTAAATTCTTGAGTTGTCCAACATCAAGAAACCAGCACTTCAGATGTACTTTTTAGAAAACTCCCCAAACAACGAGCTTGTGCTGTATCAGGAACAGGTGCCTTTCAGCTGGTGGTGGACAGAAGAGGCTTGCGGTATTTGCACTGAATCCAAACTCGGTACATTATCAGCTGTTTCCCACGGTTCACTTGCAATCGACGATCCACCAGATTCTGTACCTTTTCTAGTCCGGCAGTAGTGAAAAGTGTGTCCAGTTCATCTGGTTTGGAAAGAGAAGATGTTTATGTATTTTCCCCTGAAGAAAAGTATCTTGTTGACTACCTCCCATATTAAATGAGCTGTGAGAGTTGCTGTCATTATGCATTTTAGGTGGCTCCAACAGCATAGTTCTGTTACTCACCCAGTGATGGCTTAGTAACAGCAAGTGCATGTTCAGGCTGGGGAAGCCAAACTTCATGGGAAGGGCAGTGTGAAACCCAGAGGAAGATCTTTTCAGAGTCAGATGATGGGGAGGGGTTTTTAAGCCAAAAGTTACAGGACAGGATTTTAGAAAATTCTTTGCTTTATATTTGGTGTCCAGGGCTTTATGAGCACCTTAAAATTAAATCTAAAAGCTGGGCGTATTGGTGCACTCCTGAAATCACAGTGGCTCAGGAGGCTGAGGAAGGAGGATCTCAAGTTCAAAGCCAGCCTCTGCAACTTAGCTAGACCCTAAGTAACTAGACCCTGTGCCTAAATAACATATTAAAAAAGGCTTGGGTATGTAGCTTGGTGATTAAGCACCCCTGGGTTCAATCCCCCATATCAAAAACAAAACAAAACAAACAAACAAACAAAAAAAAAAAACCAAAACAAAAAACAACCAAAACCCCAACAACCTATATATGTGTACATCAAAGCAACTTTTTTTAGGGGAGAGATTTCATCACTTCATCCAAAAACTCAAAGTATGTGTGTGACCTTAGAAAGGGCTCATGAACAGAATATTCATAAAATACTGGTGAAGGAAGATGCCTGCATACAGAGCAGACAAGAGGAAAGCAGTTCCAGGTTATACTTGGAGCTCAGAGGAAATGACTCGCTGAAGTAGCTGCACCTCAATTACAGCCCAGTGTCAAAGGCAAAGCAGGCTGGCCTGAAAATGAGTCTTGTCTTTTCCACTACTGGGGACTGAACTTAGGCAAGCTCTCTTCTGCTGAGCTACATCTTCAGTTGTTTTTATTTTTTTTAATATTTATTTTTTAGTTGTACCAATGCCTTTATTCCACTTATTTATTTTTATGTGGTGCTGAGGATCAAACCCAGGGTCTTGCACGTGCGAGGTGAGCAATCTAGTGCTGAGCCACAACTCCAGCCCAGTTGTTTTTATTTTGTGGCAGGTTCTCACTAAGTTATGGAGGCTAATCTTGTCAAGCTTACAATCCTCCTGCCTCAGATGCTGTGCCCGGCTAGAAGTGAATCTTGCAAAACAAGTAAGTTTCCATTTTGGATAAAGTGACAGAAAGCAAAGTAATGGACTGAAGGCCAGCATAAGTGGGGTGGAGAACTGCTGGAGAAACACTGTCCAAAAGCTAAGAGGGTCCAAGTCAATCTTCTTCTCAAAGTATACTGAAGCACATATCTGGCATCTTGGAGACCTTTAGAGGAAATACAGATCATCTTTTTCATACCTTGTGTGAAGAAGTAAACTCTGGTTCCATCACCTCTCACATAGAAATTTTCAGAAAGACACTGACCTGTGGAGGGACATGGTAAAAATCAGACACACTTCAAAGCACTTTTTAAATACACTGCTAATCAAATGTGCATCAACACGCTGATTTCTCACCAGGGCATGAAAACTCACATGTAAAATTCCAGCAATTCAGGAAGCTAAGGCAGGGGGGCTGCAAGTTTATCAGGGAACATGTAATTCTTTTTTTTTTTAATCGATTAAAAAAACGACAGCAGAATGCATTTCAATTCTTATTATATATACCACAATTTTTCATATCTCTGTTTATATAAAGTATATTGACACCCAATTTGTGTCTTCATACATGTACTTTGGACAATGATATCCATCACATTCCTCCATCATTGCTAACCCCCTGCCCCCCTCCCTTTCCCTCCCACCTCTCTTCCCTATCTAGAATTCACCCATTCCTCCCATGCTCCCCCTCCCTACCCCACTATGAATCAGCCTCCTTATATCAGAGAAAACATTTGGTATTTGTTTTGGGGATTGGCTAACTTCACTTAGCATTATCTTCTCCAATGCCATCCATTTACCTGCAAATGCCATGATAATTTATTCTTTTTTACTGCTGAGTAAATTTCCATTGTGTATAAACACCACATTTTTTTTTATCCATTCATCCACTGAAGGGCACCTAGGTTGGCTCCACAGTTTAGCCATTGTGAATTGTGCTGCTATAAACATTGATGTGGCTGTGCCCCTGTAGTATGCTGTTTTTAAGTGATTTGGGTATAGTCCAAGGAGAGGGATAGCTGGGTCAAATGGTGGTTCCATTCCCAGATTTCGAGGAAATCTCCATACTGCTTTCCATATTGGCTGCAACAATTTACAGTCCCACCAACAATGTATGAGTGTATCTTTTCCTCCACATCCTCGCTAACACTTATTGTTTAGTTTTAATTTGCATTTCTCTAATTGCTAGAGATACTGAGCATTTTTTCTTATATTTGTTGATTGATTGTATACCTCTTCTGAGAAGTGTCTGTTCAGGTCCTTGGGCCATTTGTTGATTGGATTTTTTTTTTTTTTGATGCTTAGCTTTCTGAGTTCTTTGTATACCCTAGAGATTAGTGTTCTATCTGATGTGTGAGGGGTAAAAATTTGCTCCCAGGATATAAGCTCTCTGTTCACTTCACAGATTGTTTCTTTTGCTGAGAAGAAACGTTTTAGTTTGATTCCATTTCATTTATTGATTTTTGGTTTTAATTCTTGCGTTATAGGAGTCTTGTTAAGGAAGTGGGGGCCTAATCCCACATGATAAAGATTAGGGCCTACTTTTTCTTCTATTAGAAGCAGAGTCTCTGGTTTAATTCCTAGGTCCTTGATCCTTTTTAGTTAAGTTTTATGCATGGTGAGAGAGGTTTAATTTCATTTTGTTGTATATGGATTTTCAGTTTAGAGAACATGTAATTCTTAGCTCTGTATGCTAGACTTAGCTGATGAAAACTATATATATATATATATTTTTTTTTTTGGGGGGGTTTGTTGTTGTTTTTAATCATCCCCAAGCCCCAGATTAAGTTAACAGCACCATCTTTATATTTTGGTATGGGGGATTGAACCCAGCACTTAATTACTGAGCCACATCCCCATCCCTTTTTATTTTTTGACACAGGGTCTCATTAAATTGCTGAGGCAGGCTTCAAACTTGCTATCTTCCTGCCTCAGCCTCCTGAGCTGCTCGGATCACACAAGTGTGCCACCACAACTAGCTTTACTTTTTATTTGAGACAGAGTCTCCATAAGTTGCTTAGGGCCTTGCTTAGTTGCTGAGTTCAAGGCCAGCCTCAGCAGCTAAACATGGCCCTAAGCAACTTAATGAAACCTTTTTCAAAATAAAAAGTAAAAAAGGCTGGGCAGATGGCACAGGGGTAAAATACCTCTGGGTTCAATTCCCAGTACTGAAAATTAAAAAAAAAAATAATAAGCACATAACTTTCTTTGATCTAGCCAATGAGAGGGTTAGAAACAATTATCTCTTTATTAATATTTCCTCTAAGTTTTGTTTACTGGCCATTTAGATATGCTCTTCTGTGAACTGCCTGTTTTTTGGGTGGGTCACTGATCTTTTCCTTATCAATCTCATGACAGCCTTTTGAAGAGCATAGATATGAGTCTATTTATTATATGTTCTAGAAATACATCTACTCAATTTCTCATTTGTCTTCTAATTAAGAGAAAAAAATTCAATGCTAGGTCTGGAACCCAGAGCCTGGTACACACTAGGGAAGTGCTCTACCACTGAGCGATATCCCCAGTCATTTTTATTTTGAGACAGGTTCTTGCTACATTGCCCAGGCTGGCCTTGAATTTGCTATCCTCCTGCCTCAGCCTCCTGGGTAGCTCAGATTACAAGCTTGTAGCTCTGAACCCAGCCTCTTCTAATTTTTCAATGGCATCTTTGATCATACTAAATTTAATGTTATTTATGTAATCAAATATCTAAGCATAGCTCTTTTAAAGTAGTTATTTTGGTTTAAAAGACCTAAAACCCAGATTTTACAAAACTCTTATTAAAAGTTTTTGTAAACATCATCCCTTTCCTTGTTATGTATCAAGTGGCTTACAAACTGGGCTCTAATTCTGAAGTCTCCTTCCACTGACCTCTAGGTCTAGTTTGCTGGTAGCTCAGTGGTGGAGCGTGCCTCGCTTGTGTGAGGCACTGGGTTTGGTCCTCAGCAGCACATAAAAAATAAAATAAAGGTATTGTACCCATCTTCTATAATAACAAAACCCCCCAAAACAAAAATAAAACAAATAAACAAAAAAAAACACCATTTAATAATAATGGCAAAAATACCTTTTTTAAACCGCAGCTGGGCCATGTCATAGCGACCATAATCTCGCAAAAGCATCATTCCTCCAGGCTTCAGAAGTCTGCTCAGCCTATTGATAGCTTTTTGCATCCTGAGGGGAAGAAGGGAAGAAAGATTATGCCTCCTTAGGAAAAGGGCTCCTTTTCCCTGCCGCATATCCCTAAAAGCCTGTGGACTTCCTAACTTGGACACATCAACCCTGAAATTATAGCTCCTCTGCCTCTGCTTTAGTTAAAGAAGTTCAAGGAAAGCCTGCTTTGCCATAGGGCTCTGTAGTAAGCAAAGTTCCATATTCTCCATCTGGCTTACTTTATCCTGGGCCTGGGATTGCCACCTCACTCTACTCATTTTTTGTAGTACTGGGGATTGAACCCAGGGACACTTTACCACTGAGCTATATCCCCAGCTGTTTTTAGCTTTTATTTTGAGGAAGGGTCTCTTTCACTAAATTGCTGAGGCTGGCTTTGAACTTGCTATCCTCCTGCCCCAGCCTCCAGAGATTATAAGTGTGAGCCACAGTGCCTGACTGTTGTGCTCTATACTCCTGTGGCTCTTTGGGAGCCCTGACCAAACAATGTGGGGACTGCTAGCAAGTCATATACTACCCCATTAGACTTGAGATCTTTCAATGCAAAAACTGTCCCCAGTGGCCTCCCTCCTTCCAATTGGGGACTGAACTCAGGGGACACTTTATCACTGAGCTACATCTCATTTTTTTTTTTTTTAGTTGTAGATGGACACAGTACCTTTATTTTATTTATTTTTATGTAGTGATGCTGAGGGCCATTGCCAAGTAGGAATAACGCATCGAAATTTCCTTGCCAGCGTACCCCATGTTAAATGGACTTGCCTTAGAAATTCGCTGTGACATTGCATGTGTGTTTGAGAAAGGTGACCCTGCTCAAGGACCAGGGTGGATCCAGGTTTAGGGTGTATCCTGCAGGTTTTAGGAAGTATCTCGCTCCTTGGGTTTAGGGCGTTCCCGATTTAAGAAAATCTGGGTTTAGGGCAGTTCCAGGTTTAAGATTATTCCTGCTGGGAATAGGGCATATCCTGTTGCCTGAGTTCCCGTGGAATTCAGAAAGTATTTTGGGACGTGAATTGGCGGCAGAACTTGGATTTTCCCAGAACGTGTGTACAGGGCTGGTGTGAGTTCGGGAATAAAGAATTGCTGTTTGAATCTACAAGGTGTGAGTGGCTCGAGATCTTGTGCCCAGACTGCGGCATAGTGACAGAGATCAAACCTATTGCCTCACACGTGCTAGGCAAGTGCTCTACCACTGAGCCACAACCACACCCAGCCCTGTCCCAGTTCTTGTTTAAATTATGAGTCAGGTGTGGTGGCACATGCCTGTAAATCCCAGCAACTCAGGAGGCTGAGGCAGGAGGATTCCAAGTTCAAGACCAGCCTCAGCAAAGTATCAAGGACCTAAGTAACTTAGCAAGACCCTATCTCAAAAGAACTGGAGATGTGGCTCAGTGGTTAAGTATCCCAGGTTCAATCTGCAGTACCTCCCCACAAAAACAAACAAACCAACAAAAAATATACATATGTATATATATTTGAAACAGTCTCACTAAGTTGCTGAGCTGAGGCTGGTCTTGAACATGTGATCCTGTTGCCTCAGCCTTCTGAGAAACTGGTATTATAAGTGCATGCCTCTGTGCCTGCTGAGACTGTTTTTGTTTGTTAAATGAAGTCCTTTCCTTAAAAACTTACAATTTCTGGTGGTGCATGCCTGTGATGCCAGCAACTCAGGAGTCTGAGGCAGGAGGACCACAAGTTCTAAAAGCCAGCCTCAGCAACTCAGTGAAGCCCTGGGTAACACAGTGAGACCCTGTTTCAAAATAAAAAATAAAAAGGGCTGGGGATGTGGCTTAGTATTTAAGCATTGATGTCAAACAAATCAATCACAGATGGTATGGCTTCTTCATGTCCATTAGAACATAAAAAAACCTTCTTAATTTTAGAACTTTTAATTAAGGTTTCTGACCAAAACTTTCTTTTTGCTAGGCTACTAGTTAAAGGACCTAAAACTTACTTGTCTGAGCCAGGCACAGTGTTGTGCACCTGTAATCTCAGCTATTTGGGAGGAAGAAGTAAGAGAATCTCGAGTAAAAGGTCAGTCTGAGTAACTTAGCAAGATCCTGTCTCAAAACAAAATAAAAAGGGCTGGGGGAGAGCTCAGTGGTAGAGTGCTTGCCTTGCATGCATGAGGCCCTGCGTTGAATTCCCAGTCCAAAACAAAACAAAAAAATCAACCAACCAACCAACAAACTTACTTGTCTGGAAGAACTGCTGAAAGAACAAATATGAGAATGATGACATCAACACTGTCCCCAGGCACTGGATAATTCTGATCTTCATCACAGAAATCATGAACAAAAGCAAAACAACGAGAAGAGTCATACTCTGAATTTGTCTGCACACAGGTAGAGAAAGAAATGGGTCAGAATAAGTGAGCATAACTTGAGATCAGCTTGTCGCTGCTATTACTTCCAGCAGAGGAACCTACTTCTAGTAAAACAGATAGGGAAGATCCTGTGCAATTCAAACTGGTGCTTTTTAAAAATTATTAATTATATATTTTTAATTTTTTTAGTTGTAATTGGGCACAATACCTTTGATTGATTGATTAATTAATTAATTATGCAGTGCTGAGGATTGAACCCAGGGCCTTGCACAAGCTACATGAGCACTCTACTGCTGAGCCATAACCCCAGTCCCCAAACTGATGCTTTTAAAAGGAGCATTTCTGACTACTTTTATTCTTTATTCTGATACACTGTCACACCAGTCAGGTATGAAGTTAGATCTGGGGACTGGAGAATGCCAAGAAAATCAAGAGACCAAAAAACTCATAAGAAGAAAGACAAAGTATATTTAAGTGATCTTGAGCCACAAGATTAACTATTTCCAAGCTGGAAATAGTGGTGGTATATGCCAGTAATCCCAGCAACTTGGGAGACTGAGGTAGGCGTCACAAATTTAAGGCCAGCCTCAGCACCTTAGTAAGACCTTGTCTCAAAATAAAAAATAAAAAGGGCCTGGGAATGTAGCTCAGTGTTAAGGGCACATGGTATTTTCCCCATCCATGTATCTTCTTTTTCTTTTTTATGGTACTAGGGATCGATCCTAGGGGTGTTCTACCACTGAGCTACATCTCCAGCCCTTTTTGCTTTTTAAGACGGGATCTAAATTAGTGGCCCAGAATGGCCTTGAACTTGTAATCCTCCTACCTTAGCTGCCTCAGTTTCTGGGATTACAGATGTGAGTCACTGCACCCAACCATGTCCCTTTTTCCCAAAAATGTGACTTGGTTCCCCACTGATCACAGCTGAATCAGACAGGGTGAGTAGATTTCTAAGCAGGGCTGAATAAATCAGACTATTTCTGGGATTTTAGAATTGGGACGGTCATTCTGGTGAACATAGGTTTGGAAAGGTGAAGAGCCCTGTTCTAAGTTCTACAGTTGGTGAGTGGCAGATTCAGTATTTAATATACCTGGCTCTTAACCAGGCTGTTTCACTAAATCTTTTATTTAGGCCATAGTGCCAAAACATAGTGAACCCCTTTATTTAGTAAGTGAAAAATCCTGATATGAGCCACTGCACTTACCTGGACTAGTTCCACAGCTGTGGAAGAAAAATCACAACAGTAAACAAAGAGGCCTGGGTCACTGAAATGGGCAGAAAAAAAAAACAGAAAAATTAGGCTGCAAAATAGACTGTGTCTATTTTCTTTCTTTAGCAGATAAAGTATCAAGTGGCAGAGTACTGTACCATTCATTCAAAGAAACCTTACCTATTAGTTACAACACATATTTATTAAAAATATTACTTTGCCTTCAAATCAAGCTGGGCCTGATGGCAGCCTTCCTGCATCTTTCTGCTAAGCTTCCTTAGAACTTTCTTCAAGCTAGGAATACATCTGTGCCTACAAGCTGGCTCCACTACACAGTGAATGGTGTGAAGACAGAGATTACATCTTATACTTAATTCCTTCGTCAAATGCTGAAAGTCTACTTTGCTTGACATCATCCTAGATATTG